AATCCCTTTTTAATCACCAAAGCCACTGGGAAACTTTTTTAGGCATCAAGAACACCCAAGCAACGCCGAATGGCTCTTGAATCCACAGATTTTTCTAGTGGCAGGAACGTCAGACGAGATGCTTATAACTGCCGCACGAAATGTCAACGGGAATCTGGAAAGACATGACCTCAAAAGAACTCCCTTCCACAAGGCTTTAAGTTCATCTATTGTAGGCTCTAATAACTGATTCAAGTCTTTGGGTTCCCTGTCAAGGGAGGGAACAATGCCTAGAACAATGATATTCTCCCATTTAAACCTTTCAGCTCTAGGCAAATTTAAAAGGGCTAAATAAAACACTCCAACAGAATAGTCCTTGCGGTGTTTCATTGGTTGAAAAAAATTAAAGTTCAACATGAAACCATTATTTCGTGGTTTCTGTAGAAATGGCTTGCCATTGAAAGTTTGGAATTCTTTCCACAAATTTCCATCATACACGTCTGCAAGGAGGCCTTCTTTCACTTCCCTGTTTCTCCATAACGATCGCAATCTGAAGCGAAATTTTCCCCAAGAAGAAACTTCTCTAGCTCCTCGATAATACTTCTGGCAAAATAGTAACTGATCGGACAGATGCATGTTTTGCCCTTCTGAAGAGTCACCTTAGTTACCAAGGAGGCGTTGCAAACCATCTTCTTTCTTCTAGAGTAGTAAGTGTTAGTGCACTTTTTTGCTACTTGCCGGTTGTTCCATCTCAAGGCAGGAGTCATATTTGTAAAGTTTTGTCACTGGGGGCCCACAACGTACTTATTAAAATCGTCTCCGTCCAAATTTAGAACTTGCCTTACAAGGTACAACGATCCAGGGAAGATCAGAAGTAAGTTCTCGAATACCTCGCTGGATATTTCAACCCCGAGACTTTTAAGCCATGACAGAAGGAATTTTAGCAGCCACACCAGCCCATTGTCACTTAAATGACATGTCGCTTGCCAGATAAGGAGACAATAGAAGAACCAGAACACTAGGAAACAGTTAGACATGAGACGTCGAACATTATTGGGGAAACTGTTTCAACGTATAACATATTTAAAGGAAGGATTTTTGAGGAGGTAAATAAAGGCACCGCATGTGCTCTGGGTTTAGAAAAATACATCAACCGAAGGACACGTTTTTGTAGCACGAGGAGTTTTTGTAAATGGCATTTAGCAGCTTGACCCCAAGCAGCCAGGCCATAGGATAGATAGGGTAGTATCAAAAAGCGATAAATACTTAATAGAGTGGTAAAAGGGACGAGGTGCCGAAGACGGGCAATAACTCCAATAATTCTACTTATATTTAGTGCTACATTGTCAATGTGGTATTTCCAGCTCAAATTACTATCCAGTAAGACACCTAGATATTTTACATGATCCTTACACTCAAAGGAAGTAAGAATATGATTACTATTATCAAACATTAGAATATTAGCCGAATGGTCCATCTTACGTTGGTGAGGACGAAAGATAACAAAGTTTGATTTCTTAGCACTTAATGTTAGCCTATTTGCATTGAGCCAATCCGAGACTCTGACCAGTTCGTTATTGACCGTTTTTTCAAGAGATTTAAGATTTTTGTCGGCATACAACAAATTTGTGTCATCTGCAAAAAGGTAAAACGAAAATTTCTCTGAAGAGTTATGAAAATCATTGATATAAATTAGGAATAACAAAGGACCAAGAACAGAGCCTTGTGGGACACCACATGAGATCTTATTAATTGTTGATAAATTAGAATCCAATTCAGTCACTTGTGCACGGCCAAGAAGGTACGAAGAAAACCAGTCGTTAATGATGCTCCTGATACCATAGTGATTAAGTTTTTTTAGTAAGATTGAATGATTGACGGTATCAAAGGCCTTTTTTAAATCCAAGAAGGTGCCACAGGTAAATAATTTTAGGTCCATATTGTTTTGTATGATATTGACAATGTCAATAACAGCGTGTTGAGTCTAATGCTTTTCACGGAAGCCATACTGTGATTTAAACAGGATATCGTGTTTATCAAGAAAGTTTTTTAGTTGTCGGTACATCAATTTTTCAAATATTCTATTGAAAATAGATAATAACGAAATAGGCCGATAATTTCCGGGTTCAGTTTCATCGTCACTTTTGTAGACAGGAATAACTTTCGCTTGCTTTAAATTGGATGGAAAGACGCCTTCTCGCACAGAGATATTAAAAATGTTGGATAGAGGGCCAGAAATAATGTGTTTAGCACCGGATAAAATATGGATCGGACAAGAGTAAAGACCGTACGTTTTATTTCTAGGAATAGACAGTATTTCACGTTCAATATCTACTGGAGAGACTGCATCAAAAAAAGAAGGAGTTAGGATAATTATTGGGTGACAATAGTCAGTAAAACTGCAAGAATAAGGTGGTACGCAAGACGCTAATTTTTCACCAACAGAAGAGAAGTAATTGTTGAAAATATTAGAAATCTCAAGGGGATGAGTTGTTATGTCGTTGTTAAGGCGCTTTAGCGAAGAAATAGTAGTAGGTTTACTATATGAAATCAAACGACAAGAAAGTTTCCTAGCTTCCTCTTCAAAACTTGGATGGCTCTCAGGAATTCATCTCCAAAAGAGTACGCCAACAGTTGAAATAGTGGGGGAAGAAGAAAATTAATTAGCCTACAAGTAAGCTCTCCATTTGGGGTAGCCTGTGCCACAGACGAAATTAAACTTTGGTTGAGTCCCTCTGTGAAACAGTGCCAAAATCCTTGTTCTAGCCCCCCCACCTGTGTACCAGGATTTGAGTACGCGCCATGATCGGCCCGTTGTAAAACCATTGTCGATTTGCCAATAAGGTTGAATAGAACTTCTAAACGCATTTCTGGTAATTCTTTGAGACCGTTGGAGGCCCCAAACAAGGATTTTGGCGAAAGAGTAAAGCTCCAAAGGTACGGCAAACTAGGGGGGTCTGCTTCCCGAGAAAAGTTTTCAAATTTAGGGGCTCAAAACCGCCATGTCCTCAGTAAAAAAAACGAAGGAAAATGCAACAGTTTACATATCTAGTGTTATCGGTAAGGAAGAGAGTGCACGGGAAAAATGGGTAACACAGTGACATCATCAAAGAGGTTACAAGAAAAAGTCGAGACGTCTTCGACCCTTCTGACGGGCAAAGACACCAATATAATGCGAAAGATTTATCAATCATCCCGATTTAATTATAAAAATGCTTTCAGGAAATAAAAAAAATAAATATTTTTCCGGATTTAAGGTGTACGCACGGGCGTATGTGCGTATCATGTACGCTACGCTCTAGCCAACTAATTAGCTTGGTTTTCATGACTGAGAAAAGCTACTGATTAAAGGGGCTGTGTCCATTTTGTTTAGTTTGCGAATTACTCGCCCTCAGTCGCTATGGAACTTAAAGTAAGCAAAGAAATTACACGTAAATGACAAAATCAGAGATCCGAGACAAACAAATATGTCTCCTGAGGATTATTTTTGAAGTTGCAAGCAGCAGGGATCAACTTTGAAAAACTGTTAGGCTGAACAGTTTTCAAAAATCCTAATTTCAATCCGTTTCAATCTTCTTCAGTTTTGCCCATCCGTGGCATCTGTTGTTTCTGTTATATTATTTTAACCTTCCTTTAAAGTTTTAAGCGGTTATTTTTATGTTTCTCTTAATTTAACAGGCATTTTGTAACTTGCTAATTTGGCTGAATTTCGTGACACAGCTCCTTTAACGCCTGCCTACACGAGTTATAACTTACTTTTGATTGTAATGTTTATAGAATCAGTAAAGTGGTATCCACTGTCATCCTCTGCTCCACAAGTGTACTCTCCAGAATCATTTGTCGCAACACTCTTTACCACTAAGTGAGTCTGTGTCAGATGAGCTCTTACTGTTGATGAGATATTCACTCTCGTATCGTCAGCATGCGACAGCTGTTCGCCATCTTTACTCCAAGTTATCATGGAGGCCTTCCAAGACATTTCACATGTAAGAGTCATGGTGTTGCCTTCGTCATGCTCTGGAGATGCGATTGCATTTATTGGTTTATCGTAAGAACCTGTAAAGCGAAATAAGAGAAATTAGTAAAATCCAACTAGTGGTCTATTATCAATGCTGCGTTCTGATTGGTTGAGCTACTACTAGGCTATATGTTATAGCCCACTAGAAGCTAAAAGCGCGGGCTTTTTGGCAGCAAAAAAGGATTAAAGTCTAGCTTTAACGGGCTAAAAGTTTTTTATTCTCGATATTTTTGACCTACTAGTTGGATTTTACTAAAACAATTATTCCTCTCGCCCTCATGGCCTCTGAGTCAATAGCCCATTCGGCCTTCGGCCTCATACTACATACTGTAAGCACAAAGTATTTAACAATTATTCCTCGAGCCCGAATGGGCTCTAAGTCAATAGCCCATGCATGTAGTATATTATATTAATATTAAGGCGATGATTGACGTACAGTAGTTCAATGACTGACAATATTAAAAGAACAGATAAAGAACGATGTACAATGTTTTTAACTTGCTTTTAAAGAATCAAAGGGAAAAAAAGTGGAAATAAATTGAATATAAAGACGGGAAAGGATAACATCAACACTACCAACAACAACAACAGCAAAAAATAACAACAACAGCTAACCAGATAAAGAGTTGAAAAAATTACGCAAACAAACATATTCAGTGAAAGACCTGTCTAGCAGCAACCACTGCAGCGAATACAGCTGCTCGCTGTGCTCATCGCCACTAGGAACGTTTGTGGCAAGGAGCGGGGATAGACGGCTGTTTCCTCAGGCTAGCCAATCAAGTATATTGAGGTGTAAAAAGTAAATCAACCTACCACCTAAGAACCTCATGACATAATCATCAGAACCCATCGGATTGGTAGCTACACAACGGAAAAACGCAGATTGTAAATTCTGAGGGAAGGTAATCTTGCTTACACCAGTTGCTACGTCCACGGCTGGTGACACAGAAAAGGGAGCTGAGACGTCTTGCCATTTTGAATCTGACGGCTTACACTCACGGTTGTCATTTAAACAGAGTCCACTCTGATATTGCCATCTGAATGTAGGCGGTGGATTGGTCCGGGAAACCTTGCAATCTATCACTGTAGTCGAGTACCAAATTTCTCTGATTTTGTCCAAAGTGGGTGGAGCTGGTAAGAAATTATCAGCACAAAAAAAATCGTTACTTAAATAATAGTTAAACCATTTGTCCCTTAGAGCTGGCTAAGAATGGCAATTAACAGTAAGTCAAATAGTTATCATAAACCTAAAAAGAAGCACGGCTATTGAAACCATTGTTTACTGAACTACATGTTCGCCGGTATTCAATTACTTCACTGGCGCAACGGAAGCACAGTTGGTGTTGTTTCATTCCAGTTCACTTGTTTTGCCGAGTATTCAGTCTTGCCTGTTTGACCGAATCACGCAAATCCACATACTCAAGTTGAATATCAAAATTATTTTTGACGTTAAACAGACCGACAAAAAAAAAAACAGCAAACATTTTGCAATGCCCCCCAGGTTTCCCCGCGAATGACGTCTGAGTAACGAGCACAGAAATTCCGTACTTCTATAGTGATGACGCGGAGCGCTCGCGCATCACTACCCGAACCTCAAGGTAGTGTTTCTGATTGGTAGAAGCAAATTTTCAACCGATCAGAAGCACTACCCATGACCTGGGTAATGACACGTCGTCAGAATGGGATTCTGCGCTCGTTTCTCAGGCGTCATTTGGCGGGAAAAACAGCGGTGGCGTCTCGAAATGTCGACTGTTTTCTCAAGTTATCATCGCCCGAGGAAGCGTCTTTTTTGACTTGAAAACATTTGCGAATAAGCAGTGAAAATTTGTGAAAGAAGATTATAATTTTTCAAGAATTTGGAGGGAAAGAAAGCCGTTTCGCCATGCTTTGAATGTTACTATACTCGTGAAAAAAAAATCTGAGTATGTGTGTGACCTATACGTGATAAGCACTGGAAGTACGTTTGCACTTCCGTACATGTAGCCACCTTTTCTGTTTTTTTTTTTTGCTTGAAAATGGATAAAAACCGCCGTTTTCAGGACGACCCTGACCTCAATCTAAAAAATAGCTGTTAGTTATTTTACTGCTTTTTTAAAGGAATGGTTGGAATAGTAGGCCAAAAAAACTACGTTTGAACCCTTAATATTACTATTAAAGCTAGATTTCTACATGGCATACAGTAAACAGAAATTTCCACATCTTTTGTTGCATTTTGCAATTCACTATTGTTTGCCACACAGGTGTAGTTCCCATGATCTCTGGCGTACTTTGTGTTTTTTATCATTAGATAACTTTCCACATAAGCAAACTTGCTGTTGCGATCTTCTTTTACTTGATAGCGCCCTCCGACACAGCCAGTACTGGAAGTTTCCTTTTTGCACACTGGGATCTCGGTTCCATTGTGAACCATCTTATTGTTGCAAGTGGATAGCCATCTGCTTTACATCTTAAGTTCACTCCATTTGGTTCATGAACCACAGACGATCCGCCGTGAACTTTGCAATACTCAATCCTTGTTGCACTGAAATCTGTTAAAAACAAGTACAGATCCGTTAAAACTGAAATCTGTTTCTGCACTTTTCAAAGAAACACGAATTCCGAAGTTCAAAAGCCTACAGCGTTTGCGTTTTCCGCTGCCGTCAATCATTTCAGTGGACCTCCTAGGAAACAGAACTTTTCTTCAACGGGTTCAAAAGGTCATGGTTTGTTATTTGTGATCGTGATCATGATCGACGGCAGCGAAAAACGCAATTGTGAAGGCGGCTTTTGATTTCAGAGTTAGCGTGTTTTCGAAAAGCGCAGTAAAAACCAGATCATTAGTACACATCAGATGGTGAAATCAAGGTGAAAACAGTACCCATTTACCATCTTGATTTTTGCGCTATGTCTAGCTTTGGCCGTGGCATTCAGAGATTTTACACTTAGTTCTATACTTCTCAGAGGTGAAGAAGTGTGGAATAGTCTAACAAAAGGAAGCTTAAGCTTTAAGCAAAGGTGTTTTTGACCCGGGGGGGGGGGGGGTGACTACGCATGTGAAAGGGGTGGGGATGCTCGTCGGAAATTTTGAATTAAACCCCTAAAGGAGACCGATCTGGGCGTGGCCCAACCTTTTTTTGATTCCTAAAAGAGACCATGTTAAAATACAGACAAATGGGAAAACTTGGATTATATGAATGGAGGAAATAAAACGAATTAAAAATACACATATCAAATATGTATTTTTACATTTTTTTTCGCGTGCAACCCTAAAAGAGACCTTCACGGCTAAATATGATGGCGTTTTGCCCAGAACACCCTAAATGAGACCAAAATCCGAAATTTACACCCCTAAGCGAGACGACGAGCATCCCCACCACTTTCATATGCGGAGTCTCCCCCCCCGGGGTTTTTGAGCGATGTACGTCAACCGGAAGTGGGGCTTTTTTCCCTTGTAATCTGTCCTGACACTACCAAATTTGTAATAAACTGCCAAGTGCCTTTGCTCTTATGGAGACGGTTTTCCCGTAAATTTAAGCGAAACCACGTCCCGAGAATGCAAAAAGTCCACTTCCGGTTGACTTGCATTGCTCATAAACGTCTTTGCTTAAAGTTAGGTCTCCTTTATCCCGTCATTAAAGCCTATGTAAGTCTATACTTTGTCTTATCATTGAAATGCTCCTCTTGTTCCCCAGGAGACAAGAATGGGCCTAGATCTTAGCGGAGAACAAAGAGCAATTGATAGCCAGAAGCACATTTATGACAAAATTAATTTTAAAAGCTTACACGTACTTTAAGCACTCAATTTATCACTTTGACTTTTTTCCCATGGGAAACCACAGGATATCAAGGATAAACCACAGGATAAGCGACATACAATAATACCAACTTACCTTGAACCACCAAACCAACATCATAAGTCTTGCTATTCTTTAGTTTGTTTCCCCGATAAAATATCTCGCAGTGGTAATACACGCCGTTAACTGGAGTAACCTTGGCATTTTTAATCATTAAAAGTGAGCAACTTTCATTATATCTGCGTGTTTCACTGTCAGGAATTTTCACATAGCTTGATCCATTTTTCCTGTACCACGTAAAATCAAGGTACTGTTCTAGGGAAACAAAGTGACCTGCACTTCTCAACTTAACATGACAAGCAAAACTTGTATTCTCTCCAGGCTTCAAAATTGCTGAAGAAGGATAGATGCCAGGACAGCACGGGGTCATCTCTAAAAAAACAAGTATTGGGTTTCAAAAAAGAATTAAATATACAGGAAAAAAAAAAAAACACTCTATGCACTCTGCAGTCAACTCCCTCTAAGATGAACACCTTTAGGACCTGGTCTGAGTTTCTCAAAAGTTGGATAGCACTATCCCCCCCGGAGCGGTGGGTACTTCCAGAAAAATTGGGTGGGGGTGTGCGGCATTCTTCCTAAAACCCAAAGTCTGTGATTTTTCCCAACCCTATTTCAGACCTGATCAAAAATTTGATACCCTATTTTAGACCTGACCCTTAAATCAATACCCTATTTCAGACCTGCCTTTCCTTATAATCAGTTCCCTAGGTAAGACCAATGTTAAAGGCAATGTTTATATGCTTTTGTTAAGTAGGATACAAAACTGTACATAGTTTCGAGCATAAAATTCCACACTATAAAGCAGGTTGCATAATGCGCCGTCATAAATACAGAATATGAGCCTACCTAACGTTAATAAAAGAAACATACGCAATTCAAGACTTAGCTAGAGTGCACAAACCATACCATATTTCAGACCAAAATGGTCAAAATTGATACCCTATTTCAGACCAAAACGGCTAAAAAACCATACCCTTCGGCGCTGCTCATACCTATATAGCCGATATTAAGGGAGTTGTGAGTAGTAATTGCATTTAATAACTCATTGAGTAATAATAATATTTCTCTGAAAAACCTCTTTGGGTTGGAAATAATAAAGACAGTGTTGGAATTTTTAAAATTTAAATTTATGTACTATGTAAAGTTAGTGACTGTTTATATGATACTAGAATGACTTTAATGCCAGAATGAATTTTGTTCCTGAGTAAAGTTCATACTGCATTCACATGACAAAATCGAACGGCTCAGCCGTAAGTATTCTTGCTCACGTAGTTTTCGCACTAGTTCAGATATGCATGCACCACTCGCTACAGACTACACAATTTGGAATTCTAAATCCAGAACGAAGTTTGTTTTCAGTTTACATGATGCAAGAATGAAATTTCAAACGTGAACGACAATTTCGTTCGGAAAGAAAACCAGAATAAACTCATTCCAGATTGACTTGTATAAGAACAATATGTTGTTTTGGTATCTCACGTAAACAAATACAGAGAAATATATGAAGATAGAATGAGTCATTCCAGTATCATGAATAGCCCCTTAGAGTACACAATGATTTCCCCCTCTTCCACATACACTGACCAGTAATTAATTGGGACAAGCATACATGAAAGCCATTTACCTTCATCAACGATAAAAACCACAATCTGGGAAATTGGCACAACACCCGCCTGACTGCTTGTTGCCTTACATTCATAAGTCCCACGATCAGTCTTCTCAACACCATGAATAGTATAGACTTGTTTATCCAAAGAAATTCTGCCCCCAACAGGCCGTTCTTGAAAATTGAAAAACAATGTTGTAGAAGCATTTGGGTCATCTGTGAGACAGCTGATTGACTGATTAACTGCAGTCTTGTTGAATTCTAGTACCACATGCACAACAGCTGTAGTGTTAATGAATTGAAAGCTTTCTGAAACAAAAGCACAAATTAAACAAAAAAGGGCTTTAAAAAGCAAAATATGGCACATCGCTTATTCTGTGATAACTTGCCTTGGATAAACACAAATTGACTGAGACCAAAGTATAGCATGGGTGTGGCTTTGGACATTGTATGAGGTCTTGCATTAAGTACAGACAAGGACCTAATACAGACCATCAAAGTTCAGTGACACAATATGCGCAAAAATGCCCTAGAATTAAGAAATGTGTCCAAGTTTGGGAAAACATGGGCTATAAACTTTCAAACTAAAGCGCAGACAATCTCAAAAGATGATTTTTTTCCTAGGAGATTTGGTGACAGGAGACAGGGAGATTGGAGCCATATCATGGAGATGTACGCCCAGGGACAGGACAATTTACATATGTGCACGTACATATATAGCTCCTTTACTTATTTCATTCTAAACATCTTTTGCTGTTTCTCTAATGTTTCCAATCCCCTCGAACTGATTTGATGAGTTCTTTTAATACCCGAATATAAAAGGGCAACCTTGTTTCCAGGCAGTGCTGTCAGATGGCCTTAAGCCTAGGTGTTTATTGCATCAGTCAATTCCACCTGTGCCCAGCCCACAACCCCTCCTCCCTCCCGGCTACTGCGGGGCATTTGCCCGACTTCTCAGTCCCGGGGGTGGGGCATTTGCAAATTTTGCACTGCCGGGGGCCGGGCATTTGCCAACCCCGGGGCCATTCCCGAGCTTTTGACACGCACGCGGTTTCCTATCAGAATATAACTACACAGAAGGTTTTACTGGAAAAAAAGCAGATTGACTCATCTGTCAAGGACAGGAGTAAATAGAAGAGGGTTGTAAAGGCGTGTTCTCAATTTTAGGCATGCATTTCTTAATTGCTTATCAAGCCAAAATTACATGGCGAAATTGCATTGCATTACATATTGAAATTGGTTATTGAATCATATTATTTGAAGAACATCCTTTCACATTTATAAAACTACCGTAAACTGCCGCTTATAAGCCCCGGGCTTATACAAGTTCGTAAGGGGTTTTGGGTGGGCTTATAAACGGAAGAAAAAAAAAGTTTCGAAATGAGCAACAGCATTATTGATCGACGTATGATTTAAATCTATTACTCTTACAATTGAAGCTTTAAAAAGGCAGCAATAAATCGAATTCAGTTAAATTTGAAAACAAAATCAAAACTGTAACAACACGAATGTAACTGGAACCCAACAAAACGGAAGTTCAGAGCTCATCCCCGCCGTCATTAGTTTAAGTTTTATTGTCTAGTTCACAGCAGAGAAGCCTCTCGTACTTATAAAATGACGGTTTAATTTCTAGTTTACTGAGTGGTGCTTCATATTAATAAAACAAGAAAAACTGGAGGGGGGCTTATATCCGCATGGGCTTATAATTGGATGCATGTTTTTGTGCCTATAACCGGGGGGCTTATAAGCGGATGGTCTTATAAGCGGCAGTTTACGGTATTCATTACAGCGCTCTGTGTCAATAATTTTATATCAATATTAAAACCATAAACTGGTGCATGTCGTCGTTAGAATCGTTAGAATCCTAGCACGTCGTTAGAATCCCAGTGCTATTACAAAGGAAGACGTTAATTGAAACGAAAAATCGCACATTAAAATGCTTAAAATGGCACTATTAGACTGTGCGATCAATGAAAAATGTTGCAGAGATGACGGAGGATGGGGCATTTACCCTCTTTTTTCATCCCCACCCCGGGGATTTGACAGCTCAAAAGTCCCCACCCCCGGGGAATTTGTCATCCAAGGCAAAAAAAATGCCGAAGTGCGGAGGTCAGCCGGGGGGGGGGGGGTGGCAGGGGGGTTCTGGGCCCAGGTGGAATTGACTGATGCATCATGCGTGAGTGAACTCAACCTAATGTCGAAAGAGTTCACGTCTATCCAAACACAAAGTTGCTGAGTTTTCAAATAAAACTGAACAGGAGAAATCCGCACAATACCTCACATAACATATGCATACCATATTAAATAACCCCTCGTTCCTTGTTATAAACAAACAGCGAACTCAATGCATACATATAAAAATAGGTGTAAATTGGGGGTTTACCCCGAAGAATTTTGATTCATATTGTTCATTCTGGTTAGCTTTTACGTAAATAAAAGACGTGTCGCACTTACGAATAAAATGTGGCAAACACATCTCATTTTCGTATTAGTATTTGCCGATGACATGTATAAAAATCAAAATTGAAATTAGGCACATAATAGCTAAAGTTCATACTCACCAGCTGATCTAATAAATATCAAGCTCATCAGCAAAACACATGCCTCACGTACGAACGCGAAGGCACACAAAACTGAAACAAAAGACGAAGAACTCTTCGATTTGGCCATCCTTGCGAAGATTAGAAAAGTGTGTAAATCGATGACTTATTCTAGGCAATTCGGCTGTGCTAGGCAGTTGTCGGGAGCATCGTGTGGTTCACGGGGCATATCAACCAGTCTGACAGAAGAAGTTTGTTACCCTGGGTGCCAGAGGCTTTTCATGGGCGGTTTCCGGTTTCGGTCAAGTCTTAAAAAGTGACCCGCGCCAAAAGCCTCCCGTCCAGAGCGCCATCCCTTTGATAGCGCCGAGCCAATTACAACGCCGCTTATACCAAAACATCCAGAATCTGGATGTTTTGCTGACTGGTTCCTTGGAGATATCGAATGTTTCAAATGCTCTGATTGGATAACAATCACAATAGGCGCGTGATCGCGAAGCGGGTGGTTTGAAGGTGATTAAAGATCAAATCCAAACAATCCAAGCACACATCACGTACGTTTAGAATTGGAAGTATCAGATGCCTGTATGTACAGAAGATTTAGATAAGGCAGTGGCCGAAGTCACGGGAACATTCCATAGTTTGGAGGAAATAAGTGCGGAACTAAGAGAGGGCATTGTGAATTATATCAAAGGAGAGACATACTGGCGGTTTCGCCGGCTATCTAGATGGAAAATCACTGCTGTTCCAGTTACTACCTGACATATGGGGTCGGTGGGCAACACACGACATTTACCTCGTGCCAAAATGCTGCTTGTTCCAATGAATTTTTTTCTCCAACGGGGAGATTATGACTGAGCAAATGTGCATTATTTTTACCGCTTGTTTCATACTGAGAGGTCGTCACACGCATTGATTTTCTGCGGTTTATGCCTGGTCGGCATGCTTCGTCCTCTGATGAGAGTCGAGAAT